GATGTAGCTCTTCCAAAATCCCTTTAACCTTTAAGCACCGGAAGGCGTTTAAATCGCTACTCAACTCCAGTGGCAGCGATTATTTAACTAATTAAATCGGAGAATGCAGCACTTAACTTAAAGCATAATAAACGGGGAAAAACTGGAGTTTTGTTTTTCAGATTTTCACAAAACGTCCAGAGAAGTATATAGAATTAGAGTATTGATCCACACTACTTTAAAATTAGTTTTGGGCCAGTAAGCATATAAAAATTATGAACAATAATATCGTATTACCTTAAAAATTCAGCTGTGTGTGGTAGTTGTGGAAACGCTCAATGCATAGGCCCACGCCGCACACATCACACAAGTACACTGTGTACCTTCTCCTTCCGCGCTTTTGACACAAGCAACGCACGTTCTCTGTGGTCTAGATTTCTTCGCCGTTCGAGGAATCTTGCTGATAAAAGTCGTTCTGTTAGACGGGACACTATGTTGTCTGATAGATGTGAACCCGGAACTTTGTTCCACAGCACTCGCATATTTCATGAACAGGCCCTCAGTCAACTGAATTCTGAATGGTAATTGCTGAATTCGTTTGCCTGTGTTACACCTGTACACTATCATTGAATTCAGAATTGAGGCATTTAAGAGCCTGCAAAACAGCTTCATGTACCACTTATTCATACGCTTCCTCTCGATCAAATAAGGGTGAAGCAGCTGGTCCTTCAAATTGACCCCTCCCATTGACTTATTGTAGTCCAATACTGAAACTGGTTTCGCCACCTCCTTGCCTCTAACTGTAACAGTCCTGGTGTTACGACTGTGATAGGTGGAGATCATGGTGACTGTTTTTTTGTCGAACCACTTTGTGACAGAAACAGGTCCAGAATGTCACAATTTCGCCTTTTTTTAGTTTAGTGTTTTTCACTTTTGGAGCCACATTCTTACGATTCAATTTCAGAGTGCCACACAGTCGGTCTTGTGCGTTATCTTCAGTAACCTGGCTAGAGTTGGAGAATTGTAAAAAGTATCCATCCACAGAGTCCAACCTTGATTCAGGAGAGGTTCTACCAGTTTCAGGACAATGGCTGAAGTTTTGTTGGTGTCTGCTGTGATCAAGGGGGAGTCAAGTTCTGTATCCTTGCCTGTATGTACGATGAAGGACCATAAATACCCCGTGGTGGAGTCACACAACTCCTAAGTTTTAATTCCAAATTTGGCTGCCTTCAGAGGGAGGTACTGTTTGAAAGACAGATGGCCTTTCCAAAGTGTCATAGATTCATCAACTGAAATGTCCTGGTTTGGGAGACAGAGTTCCTGAAATTTCTTATTGAGATGGAAAATTACTGGGTAAATTTTGAGAAGTTTTTTTGGTCCTTCAAAAGTGCTGATGTTTTCATTGTTGGCGAAATGCAAATATTTACATATTAGCTCCAGTCTGTCTCGTGTTATAATGTCTCTAAATCCCGGTGTTGAAATTACTCTTTTTGTTGTAAAATAAGACTGAAGAGTTGGTTTCTGTACGATGCCCATGAGCATGAACAAACCCAAGACAACATAAATCTCTCCCTCTGTCACAGGCTTCCATGCCTTAGAATGCGACCTCACCGATGGTTCTCGCCCCTGTAGAAACTGCTCCGCGTATCTATTTATTTCTGCAACTCTGGTCTCAATAAGTTCCTTGTCGAAGAACAACTCGAAAACGCCCACAATTTCCGTTACATCTTTCGCAGGGCCTTGAGCTCCAACACTGCCCGTGAAATGTTCTCTCTGACCCCTATAGTTCTCCATATCCTCCCAAACGAATTCTTGATTTGCATTGTCATCTTCATCGCTGCCCTCATTTCCAACAGCATCACTCAAGGCACGATCATCTAACTCATTTTCAGTGTCAGATTCCAAATTCGACAGACTTTGTTCGGAATCACTTTCAAGCAAACACTGTAAGTCCTCGTCACTCAACACAGCTGAACGTCTGCTGCTTGTCCCAGCCATCGCTGCTACGTGCAAACTGCATTAGCTATTTGTGGAACAAAGGGAACCTCAAAGAATGCAAACAAGGCATTAGTTTATCATATCCAACACCAGTCATATCAGAGGTCAACATCACGTATCTTAATTGTCGTTAGGTTCTACACATATTTTCTTATTCCATTCAAGAGGCAGCACTCGTCACTGGCTGAATGGAAATCGATTTTGCTTCGACCAACATGCAGGGAGATCACAGACTATCAACCTAGCATATTTAGTTCTTAACTACTGCAAGAGGTGGAGATAGATTTGTACGGCAATACTGCACCCTATGCGGTGAGCTACAAAACTTCTTCAGAGACTTCAAATCTAACCTCCCCCCCCCCCGGGAAGTTCAAAGTGGGATAACGAATATACGAAATGATAGACAGAAATTTCCTCTTTAATTTCATACCAAAAGAATTACTTTACATGAAAAGCAACAGTTCGGAATAAGAGCTGGAACTAAGCACTGCACAAGACGTATGACACACCCGGCGAGATGTGGCATTTAAATGCCGACGTGCGATGTATGTCGGCCGGAACTGAAAGGTTAAAGTAGTGCTCTCCCCACCTCCTCCAGCGATAGCTGTCAGCTCAAGAACGAACGACCTGAGCATAGGTACATACATATACGAGGGGCGTTCAAGTTCTAAGGTCTCCGTTTTTTTTTCTCGGGACTGGGAGCAGATAGACACATGCGGGTTTGTTTAAAATACTTGTGCAATTTT